AATAATAGATGGTATCTGTGACTAATCACATTTTCTGCCTTATAGGCCTGCCTCGTCCCCTCAGCTTTCACACGATGATACTCATTCACGCATTGAACATTATGCTAGCAGGTATGAGACTAGTTGAATGCCAGGCAAATATTGATTGAAATAACTAACCAAGGAAAGCTAACCTATAATAATTTTAAATAAATCATTTCTTTCTTCCCCAATCTTGTCTGATTTTTACTAATCAACTTGCCCTCTAACATGCATGCCATTCCATTGCATGCTGTTTTTGGACACCAGTAAGAGCATTAGTCCAGAACAACCTTTCCTACCTAACCCTAGCCTTTAAGCATTTCTGGTAGCCTTGTTATGGTTTATATACTGAGCACGTTTAATAAATTGACTTAGAAATCTCCTAACCTTAGAAAACTGCTAGACCAGACATTAATACGTGAAGAAATGACACTATGTTATGTGGAGAATGTGAAAGCACCGGCTTTCCATTGTTGTGTTTATTTTACATAACATGCTGTGAAGACCAGAATAATTAATTTTCTTAATTCTTGCAACTTTCTGTCCCACTTTCTATATGCTTGAGGTAAATTTTTTAACCTAAATATCAACATTCTAATGTTATGTTTGTTACATAAATCTGTACGAATTTGATTAACTTTTTTTTTTCCTTTGGAAAACGTCTTTATTATTTTTGAGGTGAAGGAGGTTTTTAAAGGTAAAAATTGGTAGCAGAATGATAAGAGAGCTTACTGTGAATCCATCTTTTATCAATATTCTAACGGCTGAGCATGTTTTTCAACCATAGGTAGCATTAAATAGCTGTATAAGTCTGTCATCAGTGGAAAGCATTAATTATGTTTCAGACAAGGAATAGCGTTAGGTAAGGAATGCATGTGTTGTTAGGGAAGCTTTCCGTGGGAAAACAAAAGCCTGTTCTCAGTGAAAGGAAGCTTGATCTGTAAAAACATAAAATACAAATTCCCTTAGAATCTGTAGCGTCAATGTAACTAAGTATCTCTGGCCTATCACACACTGCCTCAACTGGTTAGGTCAACACACACATCCTTTAGTTTGAAAGATTCCTTTCTCCTCTTCACATGATTTATCCTTTAGCTTTCAGGAATGTTCGATTAGGTCTTAAATAGATTCTAAGAAGTCACATAAGTTTTAATGAGCTTTTACGTTTTTTATCAGGCTAGCAGAAATGGAAAACAGCAATGGATCTTATCTAAATGATAGCATCTCTCCTAATGAGAGCATGTAAGTATCCCATCTCTTTTTACCAAATGTTCCTGACGATGAAATTGCTTTGAGGGATTTAGAGGTAGGATAGAGCAGAATATAGGAATTAGCAATGTATTCATTTGATCTCTTCTCTAGGAGCCGTTCCTTTCCTTTTTTTTTTTTTTTTTTTCCTTTAACTTTTCCCAACTTGACACGGAATGAGCTCATCCCAATTCTGGCATTATTGCTGTTCCAGAGTAGCAAAAATAGTTTGCCTTGTTCAGACTTATTTCATACTATAAATAGTATCACAAAGTACAGAGTCCCAAGTCCTTAAATTATATTAAATGCTTCTTCTTTGACCAGACCTGGTGGCATAGTGGGTAAGGTATTTGGCTGCTAACCAGAAGGTCAGTGGTTCAAATCCACCAGCTGCTCCGTGGGGGGAAGATGAGGCTATCTACTTCCATAAAGATTTACAGCCTTGGAAACCCAGTGGGGGTTGCTGTGAGTCGGAATCGATGTGATGGCAGTGGGTTTTTTTTTTTTTTTAGTCACATATTTAAAGGGATTGAATATTGTTTTTAAAGTGATGACTAGAATTTTATCCACTCATGGGAGTGGCAGTGTCATCTTAGTGTAGTTGCATTGCTATTCCAATGACAGGTTAGTTGGACACTTTGCTTCAGAGATCCAAAGTAGTCAATTTTTGTGATGTAGCATCTTCCAGAGTTAAATAGAGAATCTTAAGAAGGATTTCAGAGGAGAAAGGACGATAGATTCAAGTCACAGTTTGTTAGCGGGATGATAAGCCAGCCCTGTCAAACTTTAAGAAAGGGGATAGAGTGGTGTTAAAAATGGCAGAGAACATGGCTATGGCAGAAACATAGCGGTTTCATTGTAGAGTAGAGGAATATTGTCATAAAGCAAGTAAACGCTGACCAGGGCCTGAGATGAAGGGAGCAAACTAAGGAGCTAATATGAAGGAAAAAGTAATGATTGGCCAAGTAAATAGATAATTTAAAGAAATCTAGTCAAATATGATGATGTGTTTAGTTTGATAAGTTATGGATATCTCAGCACTTTGTCGTAAGGAGCCTAAATGTAGGCAAAAGGAAGAACATTTATCGTATGTAGGTGGTGTGACAACCCAAAATCATGCTCAGATAAGAAAAGAACCTTCCTAAGGATCGGGCTGAGGGGAAATGTATCGAAGTGGCATTATATATATATAGCTAGTTACTAAAGACATGAGAATAAATCATCTCATCTGACATGTAAAGCGATCAAGGTCATAATAAAGAATCAAGCCAATGTTCAGTCATTTCTATGTGACTTAATTATTTAAAACAAAACAACCTTTTCCCAAACATATCTGTGCTGCATTCTCTTTCTTAGCTATGGGAAAGAGTATAAATGGTATTGATGAATAAAATACTTTGAGAGGAAAATACATAGCTGGAAAATCAACCAAATATAAATGACTTGAATTATTTGGATCACTGATTTTGATATTAGAAGACCTAGCACATTCAAACTAATTCAGGTGGTATCTCTATAACAATAGCTGCCTTTTGTTGCCTGCTGAAGAGAGCAATAAGAGCAGTTTAATTACAACTTTATACTATATAATTAAACATGAGAAGTTCTAGGAATAAAATTTCAGAATTTGGGAAGAGAGAATAAATTAGGTAGGTAGCAAAACTACTTTCATTTTAAAAAGAAATTTAGCTTTAGCTCATTCTGAGGACATAGAACCCATTTAGACTCAAATTTAGATGATAAATAATGATTTCTTTTAGGGGCAAGTGGAAGAGTAGGGAAGTGATTTGGTAAATCAGTTGACTTCACGTAAATGTTTGTTTTAAAACCCAGTAATTATTTTTAGCCAACTCTTCATTTCTTAATTACTTATATAGCTTGGTGGACAAAAATAATTTAATCAGGATGCTTTTTTCCTTATTTTTTTTTTCAATTTAGAAGACATCGAGATGAGAAAAAGAAATTAAGTAGGTATGGGAAGGGAAGTATTATATATTATCCTAATGATGTTTAGCCAAAACCAAAGACTTTAAGCCTCTCCTTAAGAATAGAATGAAATTCTTATACCTTGGAAGTACGCAGACTTTTCAGGAGTTTGGAAAAACGCATTTAGAAAATATTTTTTTTTTCCTGTGTATTAGAGAATTTCTAGTTTCCAAGGAAATATTGCAGCTCCCTTCCAAAATAAAATAATCTTACCTCTTCCCCCCCCCCCAAGATTAGTCCTTATAAACTAGAATCTAAAGAATGAGTTGTTTGATATTCTTTTAACCAGTCACCTCAATGTTTTTTTTCCCTGTTCTATTTCCTTTGTTTATTTTTCTATCTAAAAGTAATTGGATGAAACAATCATTTATCTACAGTTTAATTATTGTTACCTTCTTGCCTCTGACTTTTACAAGTCAAAACAGCTTACTGAAGTCACACTTTTTGGTTACCATGCCTTCCACTTTAAAAAAAAAACAAAAAAAAGGAAAGTTTATCATTTTAAGATCTGTAGTTTTTTTCCTAGTCAATATCAACATCAACGATAGCGTGGGTTAGTGGACAGATTACCGCGACAAGCTTAATAGCAAAAGCATCGCACAGCTGTTATTGTGTCTTTTAATATTTATTAACTATTGATTAAACTGTCAACATAGCGTCCCAGTATTTCTGTAAGTCTGCCTTTCATTTTATCCATGTAAATAGGCCAATTCAATTCAATTGAAAATTTGAGCACGAATCACTTTGAATTGTCCATCAATAGGATGGTAGACCATGACCTTAATGGTATCAATATGTCTGTAGAAGCAGGAAAAAGGGTCTAATTAATTGGTAAGAGCAAATAAATGTTTTTATTTTAAAATACATACCCGAGTCCCTGACCCTCAAAGCAAAATAAGGGGAGGGAGGGAGTAAAAAACAAAACCTTTGATTTTATTTTCCAGAGATGATGAACATTTGTTAATCCAGCATTACTGCCAAAGTTTGAACCAGGACTCCCCCCTGAGCCAGCCTCGTAGTCCTGCCCAGATCTTGATTTCCTTAGAGAGTGAGGAAAGAGGGGAGCTAGAGAGAATCCTAGCAGATCTTGAGGAAGAAAACAGGTGAGTTTTCTTTCTAGCTTTGTCATTGGTATGCAGAGTGCATACAGTTGCACACATAGAAAAGTGCCAGGAATCTTCACTTAGAGTCATGTTATGTCTAATTGTTTTCTAAAATAATCTGTTTAGCTCCATTTACAGATTCACTTTTCTTTTGTTTTTGGAAAAAAGAAAACGAATGCAGTAGCATAATTAAGAACTCATATTTTAGGTGTGAAAGGAACCAATGCAGATGGTGGTATTTGATTTGTTGCATGTGTTTTAGAGGTTTTGATTTTATATTTGAGAACAGAGTTTAAGAAAAATGCAGGCCATTTAACTTTATAATGACATGATTTGTATATGTGTTTGGCCATATTACCCATCTCAAAGCATTTAAGAAACTAGGTTCATTGGCTCAATCATATTTGGGAACAAATTATTTCATCTTATTTTTCATCATCAAATGCAGAAATTATTCCTTATGCTCACTATCATAGCAGATTAGTGAGACAATTCCAGTTGTCAAACAGCATCTGCAATAAGATGTTCACATAAAAATAACAGAAATTGTAGAAGTAAAAGGCTAAAGAAAATCCACAATTACTGCAGACAGGACAAAGATGTAAAAACCTGGGGTATTGTGTGGTGTCAGGATAATAAACATCATAGGACTTTTACTTTCTTTTCGTTCCTTTATATATATATATATATATATATATATATATATATATATATATATTTAGAATGAACCTCACTATCCGTGCCATTGTTTAGTTTTTGAATATGTATGTAATAGAATGACATGACTCAAATAGGACTTTTGCTTTTGTATTACCTTTTTTGTATCACAGGTGCCTTGGTTAAGAAAGCTTTTATACATGATCATTTATAACTCACAGTTTGCCCTCTTCAGACAAATGCCACAAGGCAAGGCTTTAAAGGAGCAGTTGCTCAAATTTGTGGGACTTGAGTACTTTCATCTCTTCGATTTAGCCCAAGGCACCAAGACCTCTCTTTCTCAATCTAAGCAACACAGTATGTCTGTGGCCAGTGCCCTCAGGGAGTATGTCACCTAAGATGAAAAAGCACATGCCATTCATCCATTGCTTTCTGCTTGCCACCGCCTGCCTGCTGCTAGCCGGTAATGCCTCTGACCTAGCTCCTTATCTGGTTGGCTTTCCTTTGGGTTCTTTCCCACTCTATCAGTAAGTCCTCAGTATGGACCCTAGTTGTGTATCTTCCCAGAACCAAGATCCATCATGGCACTCTTCCTTCATTTGATTTCTGCATCTACAAAAAAATCCAGCTTCTCAGCTTGGCATTCGAAAAAACTTTCCACTATTTTCTCTCAACCTGCTTTTTCAACTTCGTCATCTGTACTGTGTTATAGCCATGATGTTGTAGCTAGTATTTTCTAATATATCCTCCTCTCATATACTTTCTGGGTCAAGCTCAAGCTTGCTTCTTCGCTTAGCTGCTAATCCCCAACTTCCTTTGCCATATCTGACAAAGGAATCCTGCCTATCCTCCATGACCCTGCTCCAAATAACCTTCCCCACAGAATGCTCCTAGGTCCCTGCAGTTGGAAACAATCTGTCTTTCCCATATATTCCCAGAACACTTTGGTCCTTTCTCAGAGAACTGCTTGATAGTTGGCCTTTTTATTGGTTATTATCAGTGTCTCCCTCTCACTAGAAGGTGTGTGTCTTAATCAGCTTTGTGTGCCATATAGTAACCTAGCACAGTGGGGATATTTAGTGGATACTCAGAAAGCATTTGGTGAAGACTTAAGGGAAGAATACAGTAAGAATATCACATGAGTGCCGTCGAGGAGGGAATATTGAACATTTTGTTGGTATTAATGATAACTTATGCTTAGCCTTATTTATAAGACTGTTTGGCAGCGAAGATCATGATTGATAAATATTTCTATGCACTTTACTGAAGATCAACATTAGCCATTTATGCTAAATCTTTAGTTATTATAGTGGTCAAAGTCAAATAGTAAGAAAAAGTTGGGACTGACATTATAAATGGAATTTGATATTATTCAGGAGTAAAAATGTTTTTGTAATATATGAGCATTGCCATTGTGTAATTAATCTTTTCAGCTCATTGATCAGGAGCTCTGTCTTGTTTGTTGTTCACACACACTCCCTCCACATCATGGCAACCAGGCCAAAGAGTACTGTGAGCTATCACTTACCTATCATTGTGTCATTTTACTGTTAGCTATCACTTATGTATCATTTTGTCATTTTCAGAACACATTAATGTATTTTAGGTCATTTAATCTTCCTAAAGGAGCTCTGCTGGCACTGTGGTTAAGGCATTGGGCTTTACCAAAAGGTCAGCAGTTTGAGTCCACCAGCTGTTCTGTGGAAGAGAGATGAGGCGGTCTGCTTCCATAAAGATTTACAGCCTTGGAAGCCCTGTGGGGGTCGCTACAAGTCAGAATCAACTTGATGGCAGTGGATTTGGTTTTGGTTTGGAATCTGTCTAAAAGGAGTCCTGGTGGTGCAGTGGTTAAGCACTCAGCTGCTAGCCAAAAAGGCTGGTGTTTTGAATGCATTAGCTGATCCATGTGAGAAAGATGTGGTAATCTACTTCCATAAAGATAACAGCCTTGGAAACCTTATGGCCAGTTCTGATCTGTCTCTTAGGGTCTTTATCAGTCAGAATCAATTTGAGGGTAATGACAGGTTTGGAATCTTCCTAAAAGCTCCATAAAGAAGAGCTTATTTTCTTCCTGTAGATGAGGAAACTCAGGCTCAGAGAGTTTCAAATGGCTCACCCCATTTCACAGTCAGCCAGTGGCAGAACCAAGTTCAAATCCAAGTTCTTTGACTCACAAGAGGAACTCTATTTTGGACCAGATAATAACAGAGAGTCATTTTATGTAAATGACATGTACATAGAATATTGGTATATTCTTTGAAATGCATCTTAACTGGACAGAATGGTTTTAAGGACTACATGCCTCTGAATAAACTATTTTACCAAATTGTGGTACAGTGGTAGCCATATTACCCTAAAAGATAACCAAGGCCATTCCCCAAGAAAAGGATGGTTTTTTTCTCTGAAAAAAAGAAAAAATTACTTCTGGGGTCCTTAAAGCTCCAAAATGAAGAATCTAGAGTTGATGCAAGTCTTTGTGTAGGTTATTTGACCTTCAAAAAAAGATCAGGATGAACTTTCTCCCTCTCTTTAGTCACAATTTCTCCTTCTTAGAAATCCCAAAGAAATAATCTCTACAGCACTCCCATCTTGAAAACAGCACGTCTAATTTTCTTTACTCTGCCCTTTCTGTTTTCTTGAAATTCCATCAAGCAGCTTCAGGGCCGTATCTTTGCCATCATGACTTTTGAATTCAATGTACTTAAGGAGCCTTTAATTTGCTATTTCCTGTTCTTCTCACAAGATCCAGGAAATCATTAGATGCCTCCTCTCATGTCTGCCAAGCTTGCTGTATTTGCCAAATCAAAATTGGGCTACACAGTCTGACAGATACAAGTATATGTCTGGATAAAATGGGAAAGTTTATTTAAAATTGAGATTGTTCCAAGTCTTTAGATGTTTAATTACTATATTTATGTATATTTTACATCCCTTTATTCTGTAACAATGACTTACCTCAAAATGACAGCAAAAGTGAGAAGCTTAGATACCCTCCCCCCCATGTGTGACTAGATATGTTATTGAATTCTGTCAGTTATTCATATTCACCACACCTCTCCACACCCCCTTGGAAAACAGAGAATGAATAATTTCAGAGGTGTCTTATCTCATTTTGTAGAATTCTGTTTCTCCCAATCGCTGCACCTATAACCAGAACCAAACTTGCTTCCATTGAGTTGATTCCAACTCATAGAGACCCCTATTGACTTTCCAAGGCTATCCATCTTTATGGAAGCAGACCACCCTATCTTTCTTTGGCAGAGCAGCTGGTGGATTTGAACCACTGACATTTTCATCAGCAGACAAATGCCTTAACCACCAGGGCTCCTTGCTGCACCTATATGTTGTTGTTGTTATGTGCCGTCGAGTCGGACCCAACTCATAGCGACCCCTCCTTGGGTTTCCGAGGCAGTATCACTACAGGGAAGTAGATTGCCCTGTCTTCCTTCCGAGGAGTGGCTAGTGGGTTTGCATTCAATAAATATTGGATAAATTAATGAATAAATGAATTCAAACAAAATTGAATTAAACTGTGGTCCACATACATACACTTTTGACTCAAATTCTTTTAAAAACATAATTTCATAAAGAAGAAGCCTTTACTTCTGCTCACTTTTCAAATATTTCCTTTTTTCAGACTTCCTTAATTAACATCAAACATTGTTCAAAACCCCATTTTCCAAATCCCAGGCTCTGTATGTCTCCCCCACTAACATACCTGTTAGCCATTCTCTGATTCTTGGTTTATGCCATACATAAGGCTAAATAAAGTGCCAAGCAAAAATGAAACTTGACTCAAAATTGTCCTGATGTTATCTCTCATGAATTTGGGCAAATAATAACATTAATGATATGCACAGTCTTGACTGTTTTAATTCTGCATACTGTCTTTCCCTCATTGGTGGAAGCCACATGGATGTTGGGACTTCCCCCATTCTGTATTCTTTATCATGGCAAACTTATACAGAGACACAAGGTACTTTTGTCTGACATAGATTAGAACCTGCTATCTCCTGACTTAAATTTTGAGTGTCCAAATCCCAACATATTCTTCTGAGTATTGTCTCAGTGAAATAAGACTTGCCCTTAAATTCAAAGTATAGTCTTGGGGATGAAAAGATAGCCTTTGTGAGAGACAAAGATGCATTCTCATTCTGCTACGTACATACAAATTGATTCAATTGTTCCTAAGTCTAAAAGGAGGGTGAATAATAACTTGATTCACTGTGAAGTCTAAAGTTAACTGAAGTTGTTAATAGCTATTACAGTGATAACAGGAGACTCTGTGGATTCTTAGAACCTACTCAGTTCTTCTCATATGTTGGGCTACCAGACATTATGCA